GGTTTACAAAAGATGAGTTAAGCCTAAAGACCGAACGGTCCTAACTAAGCTGCAGGATCCTCGCCTTCTAGCGCTTGTTTCACTGAACACTCATCGCCTTCTACTCTCATCCAAAAGATGATCATTGCAAGAGAAAAGACAATCGAACAGACAATACAAGACAACACAAGTAGCCGTCCTTGAAGAGGTAAGCAAATCAGGTTCACTTTGAACTGACGACCCTTAACCACTATTGGACATTTAGCACAATAAGTAGCCGTCCTAACCTTCCCAACTGCTGGGGTTGACACCACCAGATCAAACTGAAGCTCATCTACGGACAATCCCAACTTCTCAACACATTCCTTCGAGATAAAGGAATGTGTTGCCCCCGAATAAAAAAACACACAACAAGATATTCCATACAGCAAGTAAGAACTGATAATAAGATTACTTGAACTTGCTGCTTCTGTTCCTGTCAGTGCATATACTCGACCAACAACCTGAGCTCTTCCACCACCACCACCACCTCTTGGCTGAAACCTTCCTGCCTGTTGTGGTTGACCATTAGCTCTTCTTCCCAAATTATAGTCTCTCTCATAGTGCCCTACACTTCTACAACGATTACACCATCTGCTACTATCCTTCTAAGGACAAACTGATTGATAGTGTGGACCCCCACAAGTAAAACACCTCACATTCACAGGGTTTTGCTGCCCGAATGGTACTGGAGGTCTTGGAGACTGACCTCTATATCTTGAAGAAGAAGGTCCTGCGTAAGGAATCTTCCTAGTACCGAGACCACTCTTGGAGGAAATTGATCCTCCAACTTTCGGCTGTTGTCTTTGTTGTCTATCCAATTCCATCTTGGTCTTCTCTAAGACCTTGGCTCTCTCCACCAAAGAGGGAAACTCCTTGATACATAAACCAGCAACCATCAACTTGAGATCCCCTCTCAATCCATTCTCAAACTTTCTACACTGCCATTCTTCATCCATGGCCAGCGTATGAAACCTCAACAGATGTTTGAACTTATCTACATATTCAGATACTAACATCCCTCCTTGAATCAATTCAAGAAATTCCACCTCCTTAGCAAACCGAACACTATCAGGGAAGTATTCAGCATAAAAGTTCATCTTGAAAATTTCCCAAGAGATGGGAGTACCGTTGCTTTCTAGTAGCATCCTCATGCTACTCCACCAGTGACTAGCTTCTCCCGTCAACATGTACTTAGAATATGCCAACCTATTATCGTCCGGACACCTCTTTGAATTATAAATCTATTCCATATCTCAAAACCACTGATCTCTTCATCTGCGCTGCACTTGCCATCAAACTTGGCCAGATGGTGTTGAAGAAAACTCTCAAGACTCCACTCTGGCTAATAATTGGCAGAAAAAGTAGATGGTCCAGCTGTAGCTCTGTCGCTCGCCATCAAGTCTACATATTGTCTCTGAGACACTTCAGCTGATAACCAAGCAGTTTCCAAATGTAGTAACGCAACAATATTCTGTTGAACTAATGCAACATTCAGTTGTTGCATTGGCGTGAGTACCGACTCCATCATCCGCATCAAATCCGATGTACGAGAATTCGCGGTTGGAGAAGAAGGAGGAGACCGAGATGCCATCTCTGATCATTCATAGAGAAAGAACCATCAGTCTAAACCAAGGAGACAAGGATATTGTCTAAAACTAACACTGAGTACACAACACAAGCATGACATACTCATAACCTACAGGATTCTAAGGAAAGAGCTGCTCTGATACTATTAATGTAACATCCCAAAATATAGCATAATATTATATCATAGATTTATCACATATAATAATATGATAGATCAGTTCTTCAAGAGTTAGTAAAGTATTTAACATTAAAGTTATCCAAAAATAACCATAAAACTAAAATTTTACAGAGTAACATAAGTCTGATACAAAACATAGGAAACTAAACCGAACGATTCTACAAACAAACTTATACAATTCATTACATACCGAACAATTATACAGCACACCGTATAAACCGATCGGTTTACAAAAGATGAGCTAAGCCTAATGACCGAACGGTGCTAACTAAGCTGCAGGATCCTCGCCGTCTAGCGCCTGTTCCACTGAACACTCATCGCCTTCTGCTCACATCCAAAGGATGATCATTGCAAGAGAAAAGACAATCGAATGAACAATACAAGACAACACAAGAAAGTAGGGTAAGCTAATGTAATTTAATTATAAATACATCTATACATTTCATACAAGTTCGAACCATGCGAAACCGAGCGTTACCTCATGCCAACAACGAATACAAATAATCACATACAAACCGAACACCATAATTCATATGTATATATAGACGGAACACTATGACTTGACCATCTGGATTGTATGAATATGTAGCTACAGTCGTCCTTGCACTTGTGGTAGTGTAACAACTGACACCAATCAAACTACTACCCAAGGTTAATCCCATAATACCTACCTCGTCACCCTGAGGTGGTAGGACCTCCTGCTATTCTCACAAATGAAATATCTCTCTATGTGAGAATGATACTCATAGAATTTCACGATGAACGCCAGCTTAGCATATCCATGTTCATACTTTACAATTCAAAAACCATCCACGAGACATTCTGCCTTGGAATTCTCTTCCACAGTATTTGAACATCAAAATTCTCATATTTAACATAAACAATCATTCATAAGTTATATTTTCATTCATAGAACAAAGAGAAAACCTGTGAACGTTGGAACCCGAACACCTTCACACTACCCAACCGAGAGGACTGAACGGTTCATAAGAGACAAAACAGAATAAATGACCGAACGCTATTATTGACCGACCACTATAGAAAACCAACTACTAGGAACTTGGCCTAAACCCGAAGAGCTTAAACCGAACACTCATAGCTCAAACCGAACTCTTAAAAGCTTAGACTGAATGCTTATACCAGATCGAGTACTTAGAGCGTACTGGATACTCTATCTAGACCGAATACTAGTTTAATATAGAAAAACTATGATTAGACCGAACAATCATAAATAGATAACACCTCTAATAGACGAACCAAGTTAATGACTGAGTATGTGACACGACCGAACGGTCAACAAAACAAGATTCTGAATAACACTTCTTAGACCAAAACAAGATATTTTTTTTTCTTAATTTCTAAACCTCCAAACTTGATTCATAAGTTATTTTAAACCTTTTCCACTGAACCTATTTCACGCTGACCCCAACTCACATTTTCACATACTCTCTTTCCCAAACCAGAAATGACAGAACGTTCTACAGCAGGAAACTCCAAACCAGTTCACAAGTCTCGGCCAAACACAAAATTTGAATACAATTCAATCAAACATTCCATTATTCATACATGCAAGTGTTCAAACATAAATTCCAAACACAGAAAAACATAATTAAATTACTAGCTTCCCTTACCTCGAATAAACCAGACACTTCCTAAGCTTCCACCGTTCGGACTAACCAGCAAACAACTTCTAAGGCAACCTACTAAATTTCTGATCGGTGAAAAGGGACAAATCAGAGGATCAAAGACAGAAAATAGATTCAGAGAGATAGATGATGAACACATGCAAGCTAAACAGTGCTTGAATGTATCAGAAAATATAGAACTTCAAAGAACGAATGAATTTACTTACCCACTTCACACAACTAGATTGATGGAAAGGGAAACTCTTACCACCAAGGAAGAACTCAGACACCGCCTAGATGATGATCAGAAGAAGGAGAAAGTGAGAATTTGTAGAGAGAAGAAGGAGAATTGTAGAGAGAAGGAGGAGAAAACTCAGAAAGTTTGGAGAGAAGAGGTGCATGCAGAAAGTGACTCGACGTTTTAAAAAATTTACTTATAGACTACCGTCAAAAACCGATTGGCCAATCAGCTACACACACCTGTCTTCCATTTTCTGGATTTCTAAATCTGTACACCTACACCTGACTTTCACTCATTGCTGAATTTAATGGTCCTGACAATTATCAATGTAAGAACCTTGTTGTAAAAAGCTTTCCTAACATTCGGTAAGCAAAGAGACATTCTCATCTTGGTAAGTATAACATACCTAAACTTATATCTAATTCAATCTCAATAAGATAAGATTTATCTCTAATTATATAGTATAATTTTGTTTTAGACATATTAATACAAGATATCAATACACTTTCTTACATAGAATATCGAATATTAAAATCGAGAAGAATTAATGATGATACGATAGACTCAAATATTCATTAACTCCTAATTTTAATATCATTTTATGAAGATAAACTTATGCTCGAATTAAACTTATGCTTAACTTAACTTCATTAAATCAAATTAATAAGATCATATTTATTTTCCATATATAATATTATTTTGTCTTATTTCTAACAAATATGTTCCAACAAATTTATTATAATTTCAATTGACTTGTAATATATGAGTGTAAATTTAATTTTATAAACTACTTTGAGATTGTGTTAAACTTAAGCTTATTTCTATAAGATATTATTGTAACTTGTATTGACAAGGTTTATCAAACTAATGGTTTTATTTGTTATCAGATCTCCTTTTAGTTATTATGTTTGATGTGTTTGACATGGTGAGATATGTGAAAGATTTTACATCAACAAAAAATTTAATTAAATTAATTATAATATAACTATCCCATATATATATATATATATATATAT